CAACCCCCTTCTCTTTCTCTTTCCTCGAGAAGAAGAGATCGAAAATGGTTTCGACCTTCGACTTTCGTCCTTGATGGTTTCATCGGAAATGGCGGTGGATTGAGGAATGAGGGGAGAGAAGAAGAAGAGATCAAAATGGGGATTGATTTTTCTGGGAATTTGCAGAGAGAGAATGAAGGAAAAGGGGGCTTGGGTTTCGTGGTGGCTGGGTTCGGGGTGGGGGGTTTAGGGTGGTGGTTATGGTGGGGATGGGGCTGGGTTTCGGATGGGGGTTTGGGGTGGTGGTAATGGTAGGGGTGGTTGGGTTCTAGGTGGGGTATTTTTTTATTTATTTATTTTTTGAACCAATCACAGGTCGCCACGTGTCAATTTTTAAGTTAAAAAATCGAAAAAAGCCAAAACTAACGTTTTTTAAACGGAAAGGGTACGATAGCTGTACCGCTGATAACTGTGTAAAACCTTGGGTGTACCACTAATAAAGAATAAATGAGTAGGTGTACCATTGAGAAAGGCCCGAACCTTGGGTGTACCATTGATAATTTCCCTTTATAGAATAGGAGTGAACTGAATGTAGCGACGGTAGTCTTTATCGTCATCCATGCCGACTTCAATCCGACCTCCATTGTAGTAATAGAGAGGAGAGAGAAAATGGAGGTATTGATTATGGAGTATAGTAAAAAGGAGGAGAGCACAGGAGAGAGAAAGAGAAGGGAAGAGAGGATTGAGGTTACCGCACAAACAATTAGGTGTGGCTTAGTTTCTGTAGTAAAAAATATACAAATTTGATACATTGATAATTCATAATAAAACGAATCTAATAAGATCCAATTTGATGAAGTTTTTTCTTACATCCACAATATTTTTTTTTAATTGCACCATTTTTTATTTCATGCTTGTTTAATTGCACCATTTTTTATTTCATGCTTGTTAAAGCATTTTTTGACAATTAATATCTTTAATTATACATCAGTAAAATTTGTAAGAAAATGACATTTAAAAACTAGATATCGAGACAAATTAATTATATCCCACATGTTTTTTTTTCTTACAGATAAGTCACAACAAAAGACGGTCAAATGATATTATGTGATAGTGTAATAGTCCAAATAGTGCAATTAAAAACCCAAAAAAAATAAAAAAAAGGAGTATATATATTTCTAATTAAACACTATCAAAAAATTTAAAAGTTAAACTTGTTAATAGTGCGTAAAAACAGGAAAACAAAAGTAGTAATACGCGTTTTTATCACCATCTCATTGCTGTAATCATCCTAACCAATTATTATTATTATTTTTTTTTTTTTTTATCTCACTATACTATGAATATAAGATTTAACATAAAACAAGGTACTTAACTTTTAGTACCGGTAAAGTTGCAAACTTAAAACTCAATTTTGGAAAGTTACGAATTAGAAGATACTCATCTGGTTACTAGAGGTAAACAATCTAGCATTAACCTTCTCTACGAATTACATGCTTTGTTCTTTCTTCAATACTCATTTTTAGGCATGATAGTTCAACTCTGATGCTATTGGATTATTTGCTTCTTAACTTCTAATAAGGTCGTGCATGCCTTGATATATCCAAAGTCTGTCCTAAGGTAACTTGTGCTAGGATAGTTGGTTTTGAACTAAGAAGTAATTGGACCCAAGCTTATGGTAAGATGGTGTTGCTCTCTATGGTTGTTTTGAAACCCCAAATATTTGTCTTTCTATTCTTGTGTGAGGTTTATCTATTCAAGTCTCATCATTTCTTGTACTGTTGAGTGGCTTTGGATCTTAGGCATCACACACGAGAACTTGAGTTTTAGATGCCGAAGAATTTGACAGAACCACCATATATAAGGGAGGACAAAGGCATTTGATTCGATGACTATCTTCATTTCTAGGATAGAGTTTCTATTTTCCTTTCATTTTCCTTTGCATTTGCCTTCTTGCTAGCCATTTGATCCTATCCCTTTTATTGATTAAACTACATTACAAGCCTTCAAGCCATTTGTTTCATTTCACGCCCTTAGTTTTTGTTAAATGAAGCAAGTTGTGTTGAAAGTTTGTATTGGTTTTTAAAGCGGAAAGGGAGAAGGAATTTGTTATTAATGCAACCACATTTGTGATTTTTTACATTGCATTGAATAAATGCAAGTGTGAAGAAAATGGAATAAAAATAAAAAAAGAAAAAGAAAAGAGAAAGAGAGAAGAGAAAAGGTAAGAAAAAGTCATTCATAGTTTAAAGGGGCGAAACACTAAAGCGAAGGAAAAAAGTGAAACAATAAACGTTTTAGGAATGAAATAGTGAAACCAATTAAAGAATAACAAAGGTTGGTTACTGTGTTTGAGTTCAAAAGGTTTCAAGAGGTTGGTATTTTTGTTAATGTTAGCTTGATTTTCATGTTTGTGGATTGCACTCATTTATTTCACAAAAAGGGCTACCACTAATTTCTATATTTTTCCAGACCCTTGACCCATAGCCGAAACATTGTAACCTTGAAAGACCTTTTGACCTTAGGGGTCAGGGTTCAAAGTCTGTGGAGGGAGATAAAACTCATGTCTATTAAGCCAGTTTGTCATGCCAAACATTGAGTACAATGGATCTATATCTCTCATTTTCACTTTTCTTCAAGGAACCATGAGATGCCAACTTGAAAGGGTGGATTTGAGGAAAGTGGAGAGAATGCGGTAATTCAATTTGGGGCGAAAAATGATATGGCCTTCTTAGTTCTCTATGCTTAGCATGGTTTACTTTTCAACCTATCCTTGGATATCTTTGAGCATTTATAGCTTTATTATTTGGAAAGTACATTGTCCACTAGCATCGGTTTCATATAAAATTCCTATTTGAATTTTATTGTTTGATTTGTCTTTATTGCTTAGTTGATTGTGGTTAGCTTGCCGTAGTTTCATGGTAAGAGTTATGGGTTAAACTCTTAGGAAACCCTAGCTAGAACTCACTCGTTTTATAGAGCGATCTATGAAGTTTAAAATGATTGTTGGGTATACTAAAAGCAATTGTGCGTGATTCCTATAAAAGTGGGTTAGTGTATATTCTTTCTCTTCTTGCCTGCTTTGTTTGAATAGGTTCATCAAAGGACAAGCAACAACCTAATCTTGGGGAATTTGATGATTGGCATTTATGTCACTCTATGAGAAGGTTGTTTTGCTTACTTTTAGGTTGCTTTTGTGGCCTTTTATCCCAATAATGCTTGTATTTCATGCTTGAGTGTTACTTGGTAAGAATGCACATTTACACTCGGTTTCTTGATTATTTTGATGTAATCCTGTGTTACGCCTTCGCTCCCCTTTTCTCTTTGTTTGTCTAGGTACATTTCGAGGTTTGAGGCATGCATTTTATGGCCTAAGAGATGGCTTAGAAATGATAAGAAGAAGGGAGAAACCAAGCACAGGCAACTCTTTTGCTAGCCTTGCTTAACATCTTCATCTTTTAGTGGTTCAAGCTACAACTTTAGAGCCCTCCTTTCCATGCTTCAAACAAGCCCCACTGAAGCAGTGCAGGAGAAGAGGAGCTTTAACACACTATACAGTAGAACAACAGCTATGCAACAACAGAACAGCATTACTTTCTAGTTTCTACGCGCGCAGGGGTATGTGCACAACCACAGCCTGCACGCAGAATTTGATGTAGGAACTTTGGAGTGCTAAGCTAATCTTCCTACGCAACACCCATTTCTTACGCACACAACACCCTTTTGTGCGCGCTCTAATATCCTTTCCTTGTGCCTTGAAAATATCTCATGCTTGGGTAGTTTTACTATAATTAGGGGTTAGTACCTCCTTTGTAATTAGCACTTAATTAGGATAGTAGATCATTATCTTAATATTTTAGAGAGAGAAACACTTTGTTTTAAGATTTCAACAATTTTTAAGATCAATCAAGCTTCTTTAGTAATTTCTTTCATTCTTACCTCATCTTTATTTACTTTTATGCTTTAAATGTTGCAACTTTGAGTGTTCTACTCCTAGTACTTACTTGTTAATCCCTTTATTTGGTTATTAATCATGCTTAGCTTTGTTAATCTGTTGATTAGTTTTATGTTAATCAGGAATAGTGAGTAGATCTTTAGCTAAGGGGATGGTGATGGTGATGGTGATGGTTTAGCTTGGATCTTGCGCACATTAAGGTTTAGGGTTGATTTTATTTGTGATTAAATTGTTTGCTTTGCAGGATCTTCCAACTGTTTCATTTTGAGTAGCCAATCAATTAGTGTAGTTGGGTGGATTGAGCTAGGTTATGAAGACAGTGTGATTTAGTGAGATCTATTGAATGTGTTTTTTTTTTTTTAATTAAATTTTGTTGAGTTCTTTCATACTAGATTATGACTATAGTGTAGTCTTGTGTGTATAAGAAATCAATTAGCCCCGGTAGGTAGTTCACTTGCTTATTTATTTTTCTTTTTGCCCATGTCTTATACTCTTGATTTTGCTTAAGTGATGAGTATGCTTATCCATTCCTTAGTGCTTTTGTCTTGGTTAATCCCATACTTAATTCTCTAGTGCTAGTTTAGTCTATTTAGTTTTCATTCTACATTCTTCCAAACTAGCTTAATTCTCGAGCTTTGATAGATAGTGCTTAATTGTTCCTCAAGGTTCGAACCTACTTGCCCTAAACTTGTTAAGATTGCAAGTTTTATAACTTGTTTTGGTCTAGGGATTTTATTAACAACGTATTTTCCCTTGATCAATAAGAGTAATGCAAAAAAGGTAGAGAAAATTTAAGTGTTTTGGAAATTGAGGAAAATTTGGTGTTGAATAGAGCAATATGAAAGCAGAAATTCAACTCAACTTGCGTTTTATAAACTCTATTGAATTTCTTAGTTAAAGTTTTGTCAATTCACTGTGGTTTTTTTAAATCACATGTTTCCACAACACCTGAAAAATCCTCTTATATTCTATTCTTGATACATCTTTACACTTTCTTAAATTTTATTTGTATACTCTTTCTTTTACTCATTTTATTTACCTTTTTTTTATTAATTTTTTTCAACTGGTTATCTTGTTATATATTCCTTTCTCTTTCTCTTTCTCAGATGGTCTCTTATAATGATTCATGTTAGCCGACCCCAAATTATTTTAAGAGTAAAGTTTTGTTGTTTGTTATGGTTATGCATGTTCTCATAATTGTAAATTAGATATATACCAACTATCCAGGTATATATGCATTCTGAATGCTGTCATATATAGTGTATCCTATATAGTGTATTTATAACATTTGTTTTACAAATCAAAAACAGAAATCAAACCACCCCCCCAAAAAAAAAATATATAAAAAAAAAAAAAAAAAAAAAAAAAAAAAAAAAAAAAAAACCTTATGATGGTGTTTATAGCCCCTCTATTGCCGTACACGCAAAACTCCAGCCAGTTTCCAGCATCACATTGCCAAATCAAGCATAATGCAACCTTCCATAATGTAGTCATCTGGTACATACGACAAAATGCAGCTATTTGATCAAACAATTCATCTGGTACAGACGACAAAATGCACCTATTTTAATATATAGTCATTGTTTTGTTGTTTTAAACAATATGATCTCTATAAGACTGAAGGCATAAACACTGTTATCACATAATGGTGGCATAAAAAAGGGCTGTCACATACCCTCACAGGACTGTTGCAAGAGAGAAGAAACTATCAACACCATTATTACGCATAAACAATACTATACTCATCTATACCTCAGAACACTGAATTGTTATAAACTTTACACTGAAAAGAATAGGTCAGCGACATTAGTCCATCTCTCATCAAAAAATTCATGAAAGTTTTGAACTTATTGCATATACAAGGGAAATCCTTCTGAATATGCAATGTGTGTAAAGTTATCCATTCATCATCTAATATCCAAATTCAACCAGATTACAGAGTTTTAGCTTCACATGAACATCTGAATTCTCAATGTCATCTACAAGAAATACAGAAAACATCACCCACCTTGGTTACAAAATGATGCTTTCGTATGTAATGTCATTGTACAAATGACCTACAGTTGATAACATGTTAATTCCTAAATTAATTTTTCATATACCACACCAGAAGTGATGTAAAGAATATCAGATACAGTATGAATACTCTTCCAACACATTCAGAAAGACAGACTCAAGTCACATGCTAGCAGATAAAACAAGAAAAAGGAAAAAACAGCTTTACTATCTTTGGCATCATTTATATACACACATGTATCCTTTCCTCTCTGCCAGCCAGTTTTGTTCCCCTTCCTAAACCTTCTGCATAAATTATATCTTCATTCACTCCACTGTCTCATAATAGTTCTTTCAACCCCTTCCAAGTACATTCATCCCTTTGCCCCTCCCTACGCATGCACGCAGGACTCCCTTTATATTTTATTTGGTTAGACCTAAAATATCTGGGCAGAGGAAGATGGAACGGGGGTTTAAGCCACAAGAGTATCAAAATGACAAAAACATCGCAGGGTCACGGAGAGAGAGAGAGAGAGAGAGAGAGAGGAATTAAGAAGACTCGTTCACGAAAACTAGCAACCACAACAATCAACCAATCAAAGCCTTAATCCCATGAAGGGTTCGGCTAAATGAACCAATTATGATTATTCCGTGTATATCATCGACAAAGATCCTCCTCCTGCATCCCTTACGATCCAATGTCTCATCCTCATGCAAATCCATATACTTCATATCCTTCCAAACTCCTTCCAACCAAGTCATTTTCGGTCTTCCTCTCCCTCGTTTAACCCCTCCATGGTCCCACTCTTCCACTCTTCGTACCAGTGCACCCTCGAGTCTCCGTCTTACATGGACCACAACAAAAGAAAGGAATTGATACTTAAGCCCTTTTTGGTTGGAAGGAACTGATAGGAAAAGAAAAGAAAAGAAAGGAAAAGAAAAATATAGCTTCCTTCGTTGGGTTATAAAAATTAAATGAGGTTTGATAAGGAAATGGAAGAAAAGCTCCCTTCACAAAATCTTTCATTTCCTTTCCTCACAAAATTGGAGGAACTTGAGAAGAAAGAAAGAAATTAAATATATCAAGCTTAAAATTATGTTTCACTTCCCTTTCCTTCCTTTACTAATATCATACCAAACAATAGATTCATCTTCTTTCTCTTCCTTTACCATTATCAAACCAAACAGTAGTTTTTTCCTTTCCCTTCTTTTCCTTACTTTTCCCTTCTCTTCCTTTCCCTTTCTTTCCTTTACTAGTATATAATCACGAGTGAGCCTAGGTTACTCATAATGAGTAACAAAACTTAGTAACTCAAATGGCAAGTTGGTAAATATTCGCCTTGGAATTCACAAATAATAACTTCTTTATTATGTTGAGTTGTATGGCCTATAACGGGAGGAGTTAATGTTTGTCTGACGGAAGTTAGTGATGGGTTAATGTATCCGTAGGAGAGAAAGCAAAACGATTGCTAGTGGAATCTATAGAGAACCACGAGCAAAGGAGCAACGGCATAGGGAAGGTAACCACGAGCGACGGCCACGGTAATGACGTATGAAGCTTCAGGTGAAGGGTAACGACGAAGCCTTGTAAGTCACCGGAAACCTAGATTGCGAAGAGCCTTGTCGTTGAAGCTAGCTATCTCCGCTTCCGCCACTACTTCAGTGGTCTTTATCGAATGAAGCTCGCTTCCACTCGAACGAAGCTCACTTCCCTGAACGTCATTGATTTCATTTCAATTGATTTCGAATATCGACAGGAAAAGTGAATATCGAATCAAGTTGCACCTGATTCTCCGTGTTTAACCAGAAAATCGTATGAAGAACTCAAATCGCTTCCTCTAACCTCCGGAAGCAAACCCTAACGATTTCGAAAACCTAACATTAACACCCCTAATGCTCCTTTACCATCCGTTTCTACCTCTAACCCGTTACACATAGTTATGCCCTTACTAATGCCAGTGCATATTACTGGCATGCCCTTTGAGTAACAATTCATGTTACTCAAATTTAATAACTTGAATTTCCTATATAATCACAAAAACCATCACACAAACCAATAGTGTCACATGTCACATTTTTCATGAAACTTTTTTTCTATTTTTTATTTATAAAACAAATTTATATTGAAATCATCATTAAAGTAAATTCATTACATGTAATCAACATTATTTCATTCACATTCCCACTAACTTAAATAAAGATTATATTATGTTAAACGGTTAAAGAATCTAGGCATTCTGTAACTTACATAATTTAAGTAACAACACAAGGTGTTTCATTTTCTTAAAAACGCACCCAAAAAAAAAATAAAAAAAAAAAAAATCTATAGGAAATAACTTGTGCATCGAACGGGCCAAAAGGCTAGTTTATATATTTCCTTTGTTTTTTTTAGTTGACATTGTTTGAATTTTACATTATTCACACATTGCACTTTGACTCGCTTTTGTGATTAAATACGATAAAAAATAGTCATGTGATAACTTGTTTGAATCGTTTTAATGTATATTTTATTAATATCCACTTTTTATAATTTTACAATGTTGATAATTAGAGATATTAATCGTTAAAAACATGCGTTGGCAAACATGATAATAGAAAGGTGTCAACTAAAATGAAACAGTATATATATGTATATATAAAGGCAAGGCATGGAATAAAATCCAAATCTCCCCACATCCAATGCCTGCACTACAACATATGGTAGCAAGGCTGCAAACAAACAAGCACCATTGTTCACCTTGAAAGTTTAAGGGGTTATGTTAAGTTTATTTATTCATCAAAAATCAGGGCTGAAATTGAAGAAATCCTGTGGTTCCAAGGATATAGAGCTGATTGAGTAGTGTAATGGAGATAACTTTGCAGAATTTCAAACAGAGATTAAAATCATTAAAGTAAAGGTGAAAAGAGCAAAGCGAGACTCAATCAAGGACAAATGACCAAATTGGAGAAAAAAATAGAGGGTAAGTCACAACTTGGCCAATAGAGTTTTTCGCGCGACTTATTAGAATAAAAATAGATATCTGGCACCATACTAGAAGGTGACAGTAAAGCCAAAAAAAGAAGGCCTAAAACAATATATTTTATTTTTTGTCATTTGTTTTTAATTTTGTTAAGTGGCTAACATTAATTTTGACAAGATGTTCACACTTGTTCATAAATCATGATGAGAATTAGAATACAAATAGTTGATTCATTCTTTTTTTTTTATTTAATTGATTTGTATCAATTCATCCATGGCTTTATCTAATTCCTTTGCTATAAAAATCATCTAACATTAACTACTATGGTGTAACATTCAGGTGTATAAACTCACATTAATCAATTATACTGGTTAGTATACTATGGATGTTACTCTTTGATGATCCCAAAATCCCTTAATTGGTTGATAGTTTGATTCATGATGATTTAACAATTCATCCAATGGTTCCTTTTCCTCACTCGTACTTTGCAGCCATAAATTGAAAGGTGGGATGGATCTAATTGACAAAGCATTGGCTGGGTGATAGATTTTGGCCCAAGAAATTAAGGGAATAAGTGAAAAAAAGGTGTGGTTAAATACTTAAGCCCCTAGATTCAAGGAGCCAATTTTTGTCAAAACTATAAAAGAGAACTTTTATTAATATGTAAAAATTATAACATTGATATTATGAAAGTATAAAGTAAAGCAAAACTAACAAGATCCCATATGACAATATTTTCCTTAACTATAAATCGTAAAGTCAGTGTATAAGTCAATGTGTAGCAATTTTAGTGAAAAGAAGTATTAAATATGAGAGCATGCTTGTATTGACACTTGTGTTAATTTGTAGTGAAAAACAAAAATGGGAGAAATCCCCCCCCCCAACACACACACACACAAATAAGTGCCATAAGAAAGTGCTTGTATTCTTCTTTAACTGTTGCAAATTATGCTGGTTTAGGATCTTTTCATTCGTTTCCTATTTATAACAATTTTTTGGACAAAACTACCCTCACTATTTACATATCCTCTCCAAAATACCCTATTTCTCTACAAAATACTGTGATGTTTTATTGAAATAAATATCAGAAGTGCATTAATTAATTAAATATATTTGATTGATATCTCACCTGTTACTTCATCTAACCGGTATTACTCTCACTCTCTCTCTCCACATATAAAGCCTTATCTCTTCCCCTCTTGATGTATCTCCATTGTTTTTCAATTTTTCTCAAGAACCTTAAAATCATCATACTATCTCTCTTCAATTTCATGCATAAAAAAAAAAAAAAAAAAAAAAAAAAAAAAAAGCTTTGTGATTATAGATCAAGACCATTAAGTACCTGCCATCAAAAAATTTCACAAATCTTCAAATTCTGTCTAAATATTTTAATTCTCTCCTCAACCTTCAAGCTCTCTCTCGACAACAAAATCGAACGAAGTAAGTTGAAAATTAGAGGATTTCAATATTAGAGGGATTGTTGAGAGAAGTGTAAGAGGATAAAGACGTGTTAGAATTAAGGAGTTAAGTAGTTTTGATAACCAAGCCACCACCTCCGCTGCCCATTAACGACGATTATGGCATCTAAAAGCTTGCATCTCTTTGCTTTCATATAAGTATTTTTGTTCTCTTGTTGCCATTTATTGAGAAATTGAAGATTTAATTCAGTGTGATGTCGACACATTTAGGGTTATTGGGAGGAAAAATCTAATTTAATTGATGGAGAAATAAAATCAAGAAAAAAGTATTAGAGAAGTTGAAGGATTACTTTTTTTTTCTAGGTTTAAATTAGAAAAATGGGTTTATTAAGTGAGACCTTTTCCATCTTTGGTCGCGCAAAGTTGGGTTGGCTTCAAAGTTTTTAAGAAATTTTTGTTTTTGTTTTGTTTTTTTTTTTTTTTTTTTTTTGGCAAATTAATCTCATTAGTAACAAAAAAAATAAATTAAAATAGAACTCCTACCCAAAACATGTGTATCTACTTCATTTTTATTGGTGGAAACAATAAGCACATCCTTCCTTAAAGCATGTGTATTTTACCGATTACCATGGTGTAAAAATACAACCGCATTGTTTTGGTAAGGCCAAATTGTCAAGGATTGTCCTTACCAAAATCGTCCAATTTTGTGCATTGTTTTTTAAAAACAACAAATCTCATCCAAATCAAGTGTTCCAACCCCACCTTGCGTCCCATTTTACTCAAAAGCTACTTGCCATACACTGAAAGATTTCTTGTCTCCAAATATTAGCTTTAAGCCTCTAATAGGCTTCTCTAACTATTCTAATAGCTTACAACTATTATCAAATTCCAAAAGGCTTTGAAATCAAATTCACATCGCGACAACCACGACATGATTTGCGATCAATGCAACATTTTCATTGCCGAAATTTCATGATCAGTTTGCGATTGCAACCAAAACCATATCCACGCACATTTACTGCAGCTTTATTTTTCGGTAAAAGCATTTTGTTCCAATAAATTGCTTCATTTAATGCCAACTTACGGAACATTGCTACTCCCTCCATTCTCCTTAATTCCCATGAAAAATGAGAAACAAGCAATATAAAATGATATGCAGGGAGTACAAACTTATATCAAGCTTTCCTTAAAAACTCTAATGTTCTAAATTTCTTCTTAAATTTCAACTCAAATACACAATTGATCTGCATGCTTTACATTTTTTCTGAGAAACTAACCTGATTTTCCTAGCACTATTATTACCCCAAAGAGAGCTACTTTATTGGACTTTAGATTGTAATTACTGAATTCTTCATATTAAAACCAACTACTTGATTAATTTGATTCTCCTAATATAGAGACAACTGTTTTCACTTATAATTCTTCAAAACTTCAACTACCTAGCCGTAGAGTTTGGAAACTTGTATATTCACACAAAATTGAATAAGATGAATGCAATAACACCATAAAAATACTTCAACCCATATCATAGCGATATAGAACAAGATTCATAGTTAAGAATCATTTCAAAGCATCATCAACTAAACAAAAGCAATAGAAAGAACAGCAACTCACCCTTTCCTACCGGGGTTTTCGTGGAACAGAAAAATCAGCTGCTTTTGTCAATCATATTTTTCCTCGCAGCTCTTGCATTATCATACTCGAACTTCAACACATTGCATATATGAGAAGTATCCTTGATATAAAACGTCCTCCCAATGTAACTCTCCTCAATCAACGGAAAATAATGGATAAAAACATTATTAACAACCCAATACCATGACCACGCAAGAACCGTCCCCAAAATCGCACCGGCGCTAACCTGTGCAATGGTATGATACCCCAAATAAACCCTTGAAAACATAGTTAACACTGCCATAAACCAAGCAATCACTTCCACAATCCACTTATTCTCATTCCCACCAAAAAAACCGGCTTTTCGATAACTCAACAGCGTAAAATACGTAGCGAAAAAGAACATATATTGCGAATGGCTTGAAGGCCAACCATGGGATTCACATACTTCAAGCAATGCACAGGTTTCAGGGCGCGATTGTTGCACACATGATTTGATAGATTCACTGATAAATTGAGAAATAATCAAGCCAAGAGCAAAACACATACCCTGCAATTCACGGCGGAAGAAAAAATGAGCCACGAAACCTCCAAGGCTGATGAAAACTGGCACCAAAGAAATCCAAGCAAGAAAATGCCCAATTTTATCTCCTCTAGCGTATCGAACATGGGTTAAAGTTACAGCTTTTAATGGCGAAGCCGACATTGTTGATCAAATTGAAGGTGGGAAATTGAAATTGAAATTCAATTTCTGGGAATTAGGGTTTGTGATCAATTTCTGTGAGCTGCAGAATTAGTGAAATTGGGGATCAATTGAGGAAGAAAAATTGGGGGTTTAATTGAGAATGAGAGCAAGATTAGTGGGAAATTTGGGGTGATTGAATCGGTAGAAAATTGGATTGGATCTGAAAGCGGTGACTTTTTTGGAGAGTGGAGCAATGTAAATATGTAATGGTAGCAAAGTTCTAAGAACGTGTCTGAAAGTGATTCTGGAAGGAAGTAACCATTTTTGATTGATGGTGGAATTGGCATGAAACTGGTAAAACAATATGAATCACGGAGTCGGCCACACGTGGACTACTGTTAATAATATGGTCTTATTTGAAATTGTTTTTTAGTTCGTACAAATTTTAATTGAATGGACTGGTACTTGGAATAACTCTTGGCTAATAGCACCTACTCCCCCCGTGTTATATTATATTTCTTATTTGTGTTTTTTTACAGTATTTAAGAAATGAGAAGATAAAGTGGATGAAGTACATTAAAAGTGGACAAAAGTTAGACAAAAGTTAATGCAAGTGGATAATTTAAGAGTAGTGTTAGAATATATGATAATATATTCTATTAATATTGTATATATTTAGTTTGGTAAATGTATATATCTTTGTCTAGTTTGTAGCTAGTTAGTTTCCTAGTTTATCTCTTGTAATTGTGTATTTATACTCAAGCTTAATCAATGAGAAAGGCAACGATCATAATCTTTCATGGCATCAGAGCGTAACATTAAGACATTTCAATGTGATAATGGCATCGAATATGTTAATGGTACACTTAAAGAATCCTTTAATAACCTTGGCATCCTCTTTCGCCTTTCTTGTCCTCACACCTCTCCTCAAAATGGAAAAGTTAAACGGCACATAAAATCAATTGACAACATCATTAGGACCCTTCTTGCTCACGCATCTTTGCCTCACTCTTTTTGGCATCATGCTCTAGATTTGTCCACTTACCTTCTTAACATTCTTCCAACCAAAGTCTTAGGTTATAAATTTCCAACTCAAGTTTTATACCAACGTGATCCAATATACTCGTAATTGCGTGTCTTTTATTGCTTATGTTTCCCTCTTTTCTCTTCCATTTCTATTAATAAGTTGCAAGAACGGCCACACCTTGTGTCTATCTTGGCCCCGTGCCTAGTCATTGAGGTTCGAAGTGCTATGACTTATCAAATGGCAAAATCATTATCTGTAGACATGTGAAATTTATCGAAAATGAGTTCCCGTTTTCTAAAGTTCACAAGCGGAATTATAGTGTTACGATTTTTTGGATGTTAATCAAGCAAATCACTTCCCCCATTTGCATAGCCCACAAACTCCTCCTGCCAGCCCACTTCTCCCCAAGTGCGGTCCAACTCCTCTTCCGCATCTGGGCCTTCCCCTTCAAGCCCAGACCCTCCTTCCAGCCTAGCCTCCCCTCACCTAGTACTGTCACGGTCCAACCTGTGTGCTCTCAGCAGCCCGCTCCTCAGTACACACCTCACTTTGGGCCACCTCTGCTTGACAGCCCACTCATCACCTAACCCAAAGTACTTTCCCAACCTAAACACAATGACCACTTCCACCATTTCTCCTATACCAAAGGACCCGGTTAGTGCTTCGTGACCCTAATTGGAAAAGTGCAATGTAAGACGAATATAATGCTCTTATTGATAATCATACATGCAATGGGATTTGGTGCTTCGGCCTCCTAATGTGAATGTTATTTGCTCTATGTGGATTTTTCGTCATAAACAAAATTTTGATGGTTCTTTTGAGAGGTATAAGGCCTGTTTTGTAGGTGATGGCAAGACTTAGCAGCAGGGTATTAATTGTGATGAGACTTTTAGTCCGGTTGTTAAACCGGCTACTATTCGTACTCTTCTTAGCATTGTTATATCTCACTCTTGGCCAATCCATTAGTTGGATATCAAGAATGCTTTCCTACATGGTTATCTCAACGAGACAGTACGAGTTTATATGCATCAGCCAATGGGTTTTCGCAACAAGAGTCAACCTGATCATGTGTGTTTGTTACGGAAATCCCTCTATGATCTCAAATAGGCTTATCGGGCCTAGTATCAAGGATTTGCAGATTTTGTCACATCTATTGGACTTGCTAACAATAAATCTGATAATTCTCTGTTTATTTACAGGCAAGAACTAATACTGCTTATATTTTGTTATATGTTGATGTTATGGCCCTTTTGAGTTCCGAGTTTCCAATGAAGGACTTAGGTCCTTTGAGCTTCTTTTTGGACATTGTTGTGACTCGCAATGCTAACGGTATGTTCTTGTCTCAGAAACAATATGTTGCTTCTATCATTGATAGGGCCCGCTTGTCATATTGTAGCTCTTGCCCTACACATGTTGACACGGAATCAAAGCTTAGTGCTTCTCATGATGCTCCATATGAGGATCCTACTAAGTAAAGGGGTCTTGCAGGTGCTCTTCTGTATCTGACTTTTACCAGATCTGACATTTCATATGCAGTTCAACAGGTGTGTCTTCACATGCATGATCCGCGCAATGCGCATATGGGTGCTTTGAAGCATATTATACGCTATTTACAGGGTACTTTGTCTTATGGTTTGCATCTATAGAAGTCTTCTATTGATAGACTTGTCTCTTATACCGATGCGGATCGGGGGGGATGCCCCGACACCAGGCGATTGACTTTAGGTTATTGTGTCTTTTTAGGTGATAATTCGATTTCCTGGTCTTCTAAACGACAGCCTATATTATGAAAATCAAGTGCAGAGGCTAAGTATGGGGTTGCTAATGTGGTTTTTGATTCATGTCGGATCAGAAATTTATTACTTGAGCTTCATTTTCCTATTCAGAAAGAAACTCTTGTTTATTGTGACAATGTAAGTGTCATCTACCTCTCTGGAAATCTCGTGCAACATCAACGCACCAAACACATTGAGATGGACATCATTTTGTTCGTGAGAAAGTCGCAAAAGGCGAGGTATGAGTTTTACATGTTCCCTTCCGTTATCAAATAGCATACATCTTTACGAAGGGACTACCGCGAGTTTTATTTGATGATTTTCGTACCAGTTTTAGCGTTCGTGATCCTCCCGCTACGACTACGGGGGAGTGTTAGAATATATGATAATATATTCTATTAATATTGTATACATTTAGTTTGGTAAATGTATGTATCTTTGCCTAGTTTGTAGCTAGTTAGTTTCCTAGTTTATCTCTTGTAATTGTGTATTTATACTCAAGCTTAATCAATGAGAAAGGCAACGATCATAATCTTTCAAGGAGAAAAGTGAAAAGTACAATTATAGATAAAAGTAAATAATGTAAGGAGAGAAAAGTGAAAAGTACAATTAATAGGTAAATAGTACCAGTATGAGATATAATAGTACTACAAAGACAATCTATAATCTAATGGTATAATATATATGCATAATAGTACACAAAAAGTATCATTGTAATCATAAAAAGTACCATTATGATTTCCAAATGACTATTTTACCATCCTATTTGCAAAGAAAAAATATAAGCGCCTAGATGGATTCTGGTACTTGTGTCAAAACCGAACCGACTAAAAAAAAAACATCCGTTTTGAACTGTAACTGAAGTGAACTAAACCTGAATTCGAATTTGAACAATTTTAACTTAACTCGACACCGATTTTAATCCGACTTGAATTTAACCTGAAATTGATTTGACCCGACTTGAACTCAAACCAAACCAAATTGACCTGACTTGAACTCAATCCGAACCGAAATTGACCCGAAAAATACCCGATTCAATCCGATCAATTTTTTATCCAAACTGATATTTAACTAACCTGACCTGATTTTAACTTGACATGATTTCAAACCAACCATAATTTTAAACCCAACCTATTATTTACTTTTTTTTTTACTTAAACATATATTAATGACACGATAGAAAAGTGACACATGAATGACTTGATATCAATCTAATAACAAGTAAAAAAGAAAAAAAATCAATAATTTACTCTAATTTTAAAAATGTACTTATTATTTATACTATATATTAAAAGGCGTTCCTAATCAAGGATACACGCTATGCGTCACCCCTCTCTTCCACCAAGAAAATGTCATGTCACCAAGGAGAATTGGTACATGTCAATTAAAAAATGTATATGTCAAGAATTGAACTTGGGTCCAATAGAAAATAAATAAGAAGTCTTACCATCTTTGCTATGTAATCCTTTTGTTTATTTATTTTTCTTAAATATAGTTAATGTATGGTACGAGTTTTTGTTTTTTTTTTTTTTTTTTTTTTTTTTTTTTTTTTTTTTTTTACAAATTATTTTCTTCAATTAAATCTATAATAAAGTATGTAAGATTATTATAATACATGAAAACGAACTTTAATACGAAATAAAGAATATTTAGCGTATAGATGCGGGACATCGTTCGGGCTAAACACTAATATTTAAGATTATTTGATCAACTCAACCAAAATTCAACTAAACACGAAAAGTATCTAAATCAGAATTGATTGAATATTAAATCAACCTTAGTAATCAAACTGAACTTTACAAAAATGAAATCAACCGAATCGGAACCAACCTAATCCAAAGTCATCCGACTCGAAATTAACCTGGTCAACCCGTTTTGAACTCGGTTCGAATTTATCCGAACCGAATATGAACCTATCTGAAATTGACCCGACCTAAACCCGATCTTGACCTGAATTTGACTCGACCCGATAGTGACCCGAGGCGGGATAAAAGGATAATTTTGAATTGAATATACCCGACCCGAACAAATTCGACCCATCATGGATCAACCCAAACTACATCCGGTTATCCGAGTTGATACCCTTACTTGCGCAAAGGTTTAAAATCGGATTGGACTAGCGGAATTGGTTAAGGACCAGAGTTCCCGTTTATTTTGATCTAGGGTCTATATTGAAATGTTTTTGGTATAGATTGAGCCAAACATGAATATTCTAATCCGGTAGGATTTAGTACTGTTGAGCTTGATTTAATTAAAATAACAATGTTTTTCGTTAATAAAAAGAAATAGAAGTTGTTTAAAATAAAACAATTTTTATCTAGTTTATTTTTGTAAATAATGAGACTTTTTATTATGCTAGAATAATACTCCATACCAATTTAGAGGGGTATCCGCCTTAAATAAACTAGTATGACACCCGTGCGATGCACGCATTACAAATTAAAATATTAGTTAGTTTTTCTCAAATTTCTTAAAAGTAATGGCATTATCAATACGAGTAAAAGTTTGTAGAGTAACATGAAGTACATTTTACTCCCATATATCTTTTGCCATCACCCTTCTCATTTTCT